GGATCTTTAGAAGAAAAAATTAATCTTATTTTTATTTGCTAAGCTTTATAAAATAAAAGAGAAAATACAAATATATTGTTCATAAATTAAAAAATAAAATTTGAAAATGAATTAGAAATGAGAAAATGGCAATAAAATTGTTGTTACATAAAAATGTTGCTTGCTGTATTTCCTCCTTTCTTTCCCTTCAACAAAATTAATGAGCATTTTCTACCATTGTTTGCTAGATTTAAATTCGAATAATTGATTAAATTACTAATTGTGTAAGATTAAAATAATCGATGTAAAATGGATGATAAAAATTGTTTTAATATTTGAATTATTTAAGCTAAGATTGCCATGAAAGCATAGCGAAATTAAATGTATTAATAATTTTCCAGGCTATTATTTTCAAGTAATTCACCAATGATATCAACCAATAATAATCTACATGGCTTTTTGTGATGAAAGATTGTTTGTCACGAAAAATATATAATAATTTCCTTTTAAACCTAAAATAATAAAAAATAAAAAAAATTTTAAGAATACTTGTTTTTTTTTCTAAAAATTACTGATCTCGTAATAGCTATGCTTTTATTGACCAAAATGGAAACTATGACAAATAATATACAATTTGACAGTGAAAAATAAGTTTGTTTATTGTTTCAGCATAGTTGACAAACTTTTGGAGATTATATATTCTTGTTTTTCGACGTCTGTCAAAGCATATTTCTCCACAAAAGTATTAAAATTGAAGATGACAATTGTATTTGTGGAAGTAGTGAATATAAGTAAGTTAATTTGACGGATGAGACATAATGACTAGTTTCAATTTGAAGCGCTCATTGTTTGACTTTGATTTAGGCGTTGTTGTCGAAGTAAAATTGTTTTTTTTTTTTTTTTTTTTTTTTTTTTTTTGTTAATCGATGTAAAATAAAGACAGAAAAATCTTTCGTATCTCATCGATTTTGCTTTGCAAATATCACAAAATGACAATTCTGTTTAACATTAAAAAATCTGCTGTAACACTAACTTTAACTTTGACCAATGACCTCATCCATCCTTCACAATTTCAGTTTTTCAAAAGCGCTTTTGAATTTTTCCGCTCAATTACTGAGAATTGCTGTGTTTGATGTCGTCACTATTGTTGTTGTTATTATTATTATTGTCATTTTGTTGCTGTCACAATTATTGCGTGTTGTTATTGTTATTGTTATATGTTCGTATGTCATAATCTCATCAAGAAATGATTCACAATTATTGCATAATTAACAGAGGACGACACGTCATCTTTTGATTCTCTGTCATTTTATCAATTGTCCACTCACTGAACTTTTTAACCTTCTTGATATGCTGAACAAAATTTCAGTCGTCAAATTCTTTTTCTAATTTCACGCTTAAAATTTTGAAGTGATTAACTATGATAATTATTTTCAAAGCTACATTGCCAACTTCCTACGACTGACCATTATACATGTCATTTTGAAAGCCCTATTTCTCTTTCTTTCTCTCTTTTATCAATCAGCAAAATTTCTCTTTATATATCGCTGATATTGAATATATGATCAAAAATTAGCTCTTTGATCATATATGTTACTGATATTGCAAATTTGCCTCTATTGATTTCCTTTTATAAATCATTTCTGAAGACCTATTAAAAAAAAAATTATTTATTCAAATTTGGTTAAATTTCATTTATCTAAAAGAAAAATGCAAAAAGAAAAGAAAACGAAAGAAAGAAAGAAATGAAAAGAAAAAAAAAAAACAAACGAAAAAATGAAAAAGAAGCAAATATAAAAATTAATAAAATTAAACAATGTATAAAGAAATGCATAAAAATTTAATAATTGGCCAATTTTTTTCGCATTATTCAAATTTCATATAACAATTAACAGTTTAATTTGTAAATTTTTATAGAATATTTATACTTAATATTATTAAACAAATAAGCGAAAAGAAAAATGAAAAAATTTATAATATGCAACGTTTTCTTTTTTTCTTTTTCATTTTTAGCGAATATTGGAAATTTGTTTCTATTTGCAATTTGTATTGTAGGGTTGTCACGTCAAATTCATTGAATAAATCATTTTGCATTATACAAAGCAGTAGTAATACTCTTTTTGCTATGAGAGACGAATCAAAGCTTTTGAAATATTGTTGAAGCAACAATCAATGTATTTATGGTATTTATAATTTGAATTTCTAATTAATTTTTTACACTATTCTAATTTAAAGCTTTTAAAAAGATCAAAATATTGCAGTAGTAACAGTTAATATATGTTTATCAATATTTTCTAGCAAATATTAGTAATTTATGATAAAATTTAAAAAAAAAAAAATGATTAGAAATTAAAATTATTTGTTGAAAAAAAAATCAGCAAATTTTTTGATAATTAGTAAATTAAAAAATAAAGTTTGAAAATAAAAATAAGCACAAATGTAAAAGAAGAAAAAACAGAAAAAAAATTCATCTTTTTTTCTCTGAAAAAGAGCCTTTTTTCAATGGCTCTTTTTATTTGTATGAAAAATAATTCTCATATAGCGTTTATTTTTTCTTTGCAGCATTTTTGAAAATATAAATTTGCGATTTTAATTAAGCATAATTCTTGTATTGAATTAAAAACTTAAGAACAGTCGTTTGAAAGTCTCAAATTTTCGTTAAATTATTGGAAAATTTTTGAATTTTGACAGTGAAAAAAAGCCACGTGTAAAGATTTATGAGAATGTGAAATAACTGCAATTTTTCTAATTTTTATGAAACTACAAAAAATTCAAGAGACTAAAAACTCAGGAATTTATTTTGCAATTACAAAAAAAAGATAGAATTAACGAAAGCGATGAAGCTAATAACAATTTGAAATAATCAAAATTTTGTCATATTTTTGGAAAAATTAATAAGATTTTTTTAATAGCATATGAAACTTTCATTAATTTCTGCTAACTGAAGTAGCAAGATTATAATTATTCAAAATTTAGATAATTTTCAACTACTTCAGATCACTGTTAATAAACAAATTGAAATTCAAACTGTTGAAATACAATTTTTTCATCTTTGTCTCAAATTCATGAATCGATTAAATTTGTGCTGTAGCCAATTAATCAGTATTGAATTTAATGAACTAATCAAGTCGATTTTATACGACAATATTCACTTATTATGTTCAGTCCTTATTATTATTATTATGATGTTTGTAGTGTGCGTAAAACTTTTTCGCTATTGCTATATTCCTAATTGTAAAAATTCATTCATCTTGAATAATCGCAACATTTATTCCACAACATTTTTAGATCAAAAATGATTTACTTTTATAATAATAATTAATAGTATTAATAACTGAAGTAAAACCAGAACAAATCGAATGAAAGAAAATATATCATTTTGCTGTAAAATGTCAAATGGAAGTTTAACGAAAGATTTATCGAATGAATCATATCATTCATTCTGTAACATTAAATAAATTATAACAATTGTAGTAAAAAATGACAATCGAATGAATGATTTATGATTGCTTCCTTCTTTATGAAAAAATTAATTAATAATTTAAAAAGTTAAGTGGTAGGGAAGGGAAGATTTTTGAAAGTTATTCGTTAAAAAAAAAAAATGGGAAAAAAGAAAAAAGGAAAAATGGAAATGTTTTAGCACTTGAATGAAGGAGGAGAGAGAGAATGAAAGAAAAGCTATGATCTCTTTTCAAAATATATTAATTGTTGATCAGAGTACAGAAAAAAATGAAAGATAAAAATCAATGAAGAAATTTAAACAAAATTCTTAGTTTATTTGCCATGCTTTTCATATTTTATGAAATCTGAAACGTGTAATTCTGTCCCCGACAGAAAAATTATCTCGGTTTTATTTATCACTCATTCATTTCAGAAATTTAATTTACTTTTAAATGCAAACTATAATAATTTAATCGAAAAAAACATCCCCTAACAGTTAGTCCAATGCTCATGTTATTTGATAATTTTTTTACAAAAGCGATGTTAATAATTTCAACCTCTCGGCATTTTAGCTATTTTATAAAAGTGCCATTATAGCATGTTTTATTAACAAGTGTAATTAGTTTAAAAGGAATGAAAAGTAATAAAATTGATACTAAATATGTAGAAATTGATTTCCAATGAATAAATAATTTTATTAAAAATTCAATATTTAGTTTAACTTTTTTATGAGGAAGTTTTCATAAATATTTTATATGATTTCTTTTATTTCGCTTTTTTTTCTCATTCTTATCATTTATAACAATTATATAGAATGAAGTTTTTTTTTTTTTTTTTCTGAGTTGATTTATTCCGATTGATAACTTTTAAACTGAAATTATTTCAAGATAGAAAAAAGCCTAATCAAAGAACACAACAATACAAGAAAAAAAAAAAGGGAAAAATATACAAACCTCCCAAACAAGTGGACAACAAGTGGACATAACAAATGATGGACATATCATAATATACAAAAGTGCCATTTCATTTCATGAATGCTCAACACATCTTCATATATTCAGAAAAGAAAAGAGAAAAAACTCACCCGAGAAAAGTATTCGCACATTCAGAAAAGGAAAAATTTTTACAATAGTGGACTATTTGTTTATAAAAAAATTTTTGACTGATTTTCTACGGTAGCTTGTAAGGTTATTTCTAGATATTACTGTATCGAAAACATATAAATACTTTATTTCCATATGTCAAACATACGGTAATGATATGAATTTCAGATTTTAGTTTCAGCTGTTGAATTTGAACATTTTTACGTATGCTGGATGTATATATATATATATATATTTAGCTTATTTTAATTTTAAACGATTATTCATACCTTTTTTAACACCAAATTGACGCTTTCCAACATCAAATTGAACGCTAATTTAAAAGATATATGCATAAAAATGCAAGCTTAAAAACATATAAACAATCGACCATATACATTCACGTACGTGAAAACAGCAACCATCAGATGATGTCATTTGAAAGTAAAGGAAGAGAAAATTAGTATAGTCAATGAAACTAAAATCAAGACAAAAAAATTAAATAAGCCGTTCTTCCTTGGTAACGGTAGCCATAGGCATTGAATAGCTACTTGATAGAATACTTTCTTCACGTGCTGGATTATATTTCCCGTGTAATTTACGGGAACGACGTACATAACGAAATATTAATGTAACACATGCTCCTGCTAATACCATCAATACTAAAATGATAATATAAAAAAAAAAAAAGTCAATCGAATATTACGCTTATGAACGTGAAATTTATTAGATTATTTCTATTATTACTATTGTTATTATTACTATTACTACTATTTCTTATTATTAATGCTGTTATTATCATTTCCTCATTATCATTATTACCTATCCTCTAACACTGCTATGGCTTGATGGCAATTTGTTTAATTTAGAAAAAGATTTTAAATGAAAATTAATTTGAAATATATTTACCAGAAATAATAACGAAAACAATTGTCCAAGATGATGTGTCACTTCTCGTAGTATCATTATTATCACTAAAAGCACCATCTGAAGGTTGATTCAAATCTGGAATTAGTGTCGTAGTCGGAAAAACGGCAGTTAGTCTTACAAATTTCACTTCATCTTCATCGAATGATTGTCCTGCTTCTGTGATAAGATCTCCTACAGTTATCGTTGTCTACAAACAGTATCAATGAAGAGAAAACAGCAATGAAAAACAAAAACTGGCATCTTTATCAAAATTTCATATTGACATCGTGACAGTAATAATTGAATCATTATTGTTATATCAAGATGTTTCTAAAATTTCAATTTATTTTTTAAAATCCTTTTAATAAAAATATTGAAACCTAATAAAAAATTGAGAATTCAAAAATATTTTGATAACCTACTGACAATTAATTAATAAATCATAAATTTTGATCAATAATCAAAAAAAAAATTAAATTGTTAAAATGTATTAAGATAACGAAAGGATATCTAATTAAATGTACAATTAATTTTTCATCTTTTTGAGAAAAAAAAATTCCCTCAATAATTTACTTCTTCAACTTTTTCAGTAGATTTTGCGAAACTGTCTTCCTCTTCCATTCCTTCTTTTTCATTAGTTTTTGATGTTGAAGAAAATGTCGTTGTTGTAAATACTTGTCGATCGGGTAAATTACCATCCTCAGTTATATCACTTGTTTTAGAAACCAAAATTGACCCTTCCATTTCCGGTGTATCTGGTGTAAATGAACTAATTTGTATTACACTATCTTCGTCAATAATTGCCGTTGTCGATATCAAAATAGGTGGTATATCGGTTATAAATCCGGAAAATGTGGACAATGGAATGTGTGAAGTGTTGTCGATGATCATTTCTGGTAATGACGAAATAGCAGGAAATTCTTCAATTGATGGTAAAAGTGGAGATTCGACTGTGAAATTTTCATTCTCAAATTTATTTGACATTTCTACGAAATTCTTTTCGGTTGGATTCAAGGATATTTCAGCAGTTTGTCCTGTAGTGTTAACAAGATCTTTAAATTCAGGATGTTCTGGTAAAGCGACTGTTGATGTTGCTATTGTTTGTGGTCTTGAAAAATTGGGAGTTATGTTGAAAAGATTATGAAGTTGTGAAGGAGATTCTGGAGTGATTAACAGCGTCGATATTGCTGGCAAGTTTGCAATATGAGTTGTGGTACTGAATAAAGTTGGTCTTGATGGTTCTGGAATAGTAGGGTGCAAAACCGGAAGCAATTTCATGGATCTGAAAGATGGAACATCATGTTTTAAATTTCTGAAACATGGTTTCAATACATAGATGAAGCAGTACTCTACTGGAGAGATAATACTGATAATAATTAAATAAGTAGTGGTAATAAGTTATATTATTGACAAATTTAACCTGTTTAAAGCAGATGATGTTTCCATCCCAGATTCACTAGGTTGACGGAAATCTGCATCAGGATTGGTAGGAAAAGATGCTGTTATTGTTGTTGTCATATTGGTAGTAGGTGATGGTAGGAAAGGATTTGGGAATAAATTTGAAAAATGCGGATGATTATGAAATTGTGAAGCGATTTGCTGAGTGGATGGAGGTTGTTCCGGCGTTTCCGGAACTAATACCGAAGTTATAACATTTGGTATGCTCATTGTAGTTGTAATAACAGTTTGCATTATTGGAATATGAACTTTTCCTGGTAGCTCTTTGCAATCAATCCATTCTGAAAAAGCCAAAAATTTCGATCAACATAATGATGAGTAATACGAAAAGATAGCTTTAGCAAGCTTTACTGACATATCAAGAAAAAGGGAAATCAGTCAACCAATTAATCAATCAATACTGCTATAGTTCAGTACTATGTACATTTCAAAGTTTTGTTTATATATATACTAGTAGTGGTGTTTCTTGTTCGATTATTATGTGATTCAGGAGGTTTTTGGTTATTATTATTTATTATTATGTTGTTATTATCATTGTTATTTATTATTATTACAATTAACATTATTATTACACATCTGTTCTATCTCTTTTTCGCAATAACTTTTAAAAATTAACCGGATCGTTCGTTCAAGCAAAGGCATTTGTATGTAGCATTAACCGGAATTGGAGAAATTAACGCGAAATTATCCGAATCCAATTGGCAACGAGCATCACTACTGTATTCAGTACATGCTCCACTACTGAAAATTATCATTTCATTTAATATTTCCTAATCTCTGAATAGTAACAACAATCCTAAATTAAAGAATACATTTGGATAATTAATTCAAGAACCACCTGATAGTGACCTTTAAGGTCATTTGCTCTTTTTTTATTATTCAACTTTTTTCCTTTCCTCTTTTCTTCTACCAATTTTTTTTCCTTCTTTTCCACTTTAAAAAAAAAAGAAGAAAAAAAAAACGAAATATCAGAGTAGGAGGTAGAAATAGGAAAGAAGATAAAAAGAGAAAGAAAAAGGAAAATTTTACAGAAGCAATTTCATCAATAAAATTTATTTTAATATCTTTAATAGATCTTTTATTTTATTTTGCTCTTTTGCCTCCAAAATTTTTCGAAATTTCAGCTTATTTTCAAATTTCACATTTCATTTTGAAAAAAAAAAAAAAAAAAAAAGAAACAAACTTGCTAGTACATGTATCAATAATATTGCAGTTAATACCAAATGTGCCTGTTGGACACTGACAAACTGGCATATTACCTGTTAATTTACAAATACCACCTTGTTCACATTTTGGATTACAAACATTCTGTAAATTAAGGAATGTATGATATTAAATATTATTAGCCAGAGTGATTAATTACTCATTTCAATAAACAAAAATTGCATTTTTGAAAGTAATTTTTGCACCGCATACTTTACATTTTGAAAAAAAAAAAAGGAAAAGAAACTTTCAAATGGTTTAAAAATATATTTCGAAATAAAATAAAATATGGAGTGGCAATATAATTTCAAAGTATAATAAAATATAATATATATTAAATATACGAAATATTACTTATAGTGTAATTTTTATCTTTTTTAGAATCACTTCATAAATAAATATTGATTACAAAATGCTAGAGAAAAAAAAAATTTTAACTTCTAAATTTGACCAGTCTAATTTCAATAAAAATTAATTAATATTAGGTTATATTATATACATATTTACATAATGATTAACTGATATTATAAAAATTAGTTCCAACCTGTTCACAAAATGTTCCGGTTGTACCTGGTTGACATAAACAATGTGGTACATTACCATTTGTCTGACAAACACCATTATGCATACATTGCACATTGGCGCATAAGTTTATTTCACAATGTGACCCAAGAAATCCTTCAGAACATACGCAAATAACCTATAAAATTAAAAGTCTCACTTATTGTAGATTGAAAAAAAAAAGGCGCTAAAACTATTGATAATCCTTATATCAATATTAATAAAACTAAATTAATTTTTTTTCCTTTTCAAAATCAAAACTTTCTAACATATCAATTGTCATATTATCATTAGAAAAAAAATTAATAACAGTAAAAATATTATCAATTTTATATGAAGCAGAATAAATGAAAAATTTTTAAAATCACCCTTCCATCATTCGTAGTCACACAGGTACCATTATTTTGACATTGGATACCTGCACAGGTTTGCTCATTAATTCCTTTTATATTTGCTGTTGCTGATGGCAACGATGCCAGTGGTGCTAATGTCGATGATGACAAGAGTTCATGGGTTGCTATCGATACATGTGATTCTTGAATAATAGATGGTAACAATTTATTATTTTGCTGACTATCAAGTGGCAAATTTACAGATTCTTTTGTCGTTATTGACATTTCAGTATTTTCAATAACAGTAGTAGTAATAGTGGTAGTGTTAGCAGTGGTAATAACACTAGTAATTCTCGGCATTATTTCCGCAATAGCTTTGATAGGATTTAAATTATCAGTATTCTTTGATATACTGGGAGAAAAATCATGAGAAATTGATAAATTTCCATTTGATGAGGTAATTATTGGATTGACAAAATGAAACGGTGCAATACCATTTCGCATATGAGCTGAAATTAGTAATTAATTTGAATTATTGGGAATATCGTTTTCAATTTTGTATTATTTATTTATTTTTAATCGTTCTTCTTATCGTCTTTTTTGGACTTATAAAAACGATTAAGACTTGAAACATTTTGATTAATTGATTGGTTCTTTGATCACATTCAATGTTGAGAAATGGTAATGGCAGTGATTGGAAAAAATGAAAATGATAATCTGATAGTCTATGCAAATGATTAAAATCGACCAAGGAACATTTTCAAGGTAAGAATTTCAATTAACTAAATTACACACATTTCAAGTCCTATTTAAAGTTTAATGAACTTGGAACTAAAAAAAAAAATTGTGAACTTTAAAAACGTAATTTGTAATTTTTAATTTAATCTCTCAAGAGGTGTGAGAAAAGAGAAGGAAACATTTGATCATTTTCGATAAATAATCAATTGAATTTACTTAAAAAAGAAACGGAGAAAAGAATACAAATGAGAATAAACTTTAAAGTTCAACAATAATTACTTACCATGATTACCATTCATTTCAGGTATTGGACAATTACACTCCAATGACATTCCATGGAATAAATTACGTTGCAATTTTGGTGGACAACCTTCTAATTTTTCATTTTGTATAATCATATCACGAAAACATTTTGGTCCTTGCTCTATAAACAAATTTAAAAAATATATTTCAAAACATAATTCTTTCATTCTGAACAAATTGATAAAATTTTCGAAAAAAAAAAAAAAAAAAAAACCATGGTAATTCTATTATGAATTGTTTAAAAATAGTATTAAATAATTAATAACTTCAAAAAAAGAGCAAAAAATTACATAAATATTAAATAATATGAAAAATCTTGCATCCTCTATCTTATTTCAAGAATTTTAAAATTTTATTAACCCAAATGCATTATGAAAATTGAACCATAAAAGATACGTTCTTTTCTCTTCCTTTCCTTTTTTTTTTTTTTTTTTTTTTTTCATTTATTTTATCTCCTCACTAAAATTTAAAGAAAAATGTTTTATTTTCTAATTTTTGATTTTAAATGAAGGAATAAATTAGTCTTACGAGCAAGAATACGTAGAGAAAATGTTCGAGGTGAGCTGATAGAGGGAAAATGAATTTTTGAAATTGTTGTCTCAGTATCGGTAATATTGCAAATTAATGATTCTTCCGTAAGTATCCAAAAAAATCTGCGCCATTTATTATCTGCAAAAAAATAAAAAAATTTTTCCTTTTTCTTCATGTCTTTCCATTTTTTCTCTGAATTTTTTTTTTTATAAATCTATTACAATTAATTTCACAATAAATTTTGCAATGTCACAACAAATTCGATTTTTTACAATTTCTTTTTTTTTCAAAAAAAAAATAACAAATTTACTGCAATATTCGATCCAAATAATAACTGATGATGTAAATTCTCCATTTCAATTTTTGAAAAATTCAAAAAAAAAAAAAAAAAAACGAAATGATTAATTAATTAATAGATTGGAAATAAAAATTTAATCTAGGATAACAATTTCCTATTTTAATGATAATTAAATTAATAATCAATCAATCAGTCATCCGTTAGTATCATGTGATCATAAATACTGGTTGAAAAGAATAAAATTTTAAAAGGAAAATTTTCTAACATTTACTCACCTCGTGGAGCATAAGATGCGCAAATGCCAAGATGATTACCATTTGAACTGTCAACAACAACCAACAAATTGGTCATTGGTGATTGTTTTGACCTGAATTATTTCTTGTTTCCCATCTTTTTTACATTCATTTTTAAATTCATAACAATAATGAATTTAAAAGATGAAAGAAAAACAAGGAGTAATTAGAATTTTGATTTAAATTTATTATATATTGGAAAATTATTCAATGAAAATCAAGATAATAATGGCAAACACAGAAAACAAAAAAGAGATCAAAGTAAATGAGAAAATTATCAAATTTTAAGGATAGTGACAATAAAAAAAAATAAATAAATAAACAAAAATAAAATCATGATACTTTGAAATGTTCATTTGTAATTTTTGTTTATTTTTCATATTAAAATTTTTCTTGAATAAATTTTTGATTTGATAAAGTTGTTGAAATTATTTCATTTAGCATAATGTATTTTATGCAGCATAGAATTTTTATAAAACAGCTCAATCGTAAGTCAATTAGTCTAAAGCTAATTAGTCAAACATTGGTAAAATTAGTCACTGTAATATTAGTTTTATAATTGAAAACTTTTAGCAATACTTACTCAATGTAATAATATTGCCCAGTCCATGGCAAAGCATTTTCATCGATAATCCATGACATACGCCCACGTTTTGAATCAGCAAAATGAGCTGTTGTAATTTCCGCACTTTCATCAAATTTTGCTATTACTATGAATTTTTGCAAGAATACTAAAAGTTTAAAAAAATTATTTTGAAATTTAAATCATCTTAAATTATTTTCTCTTATTTACTATTAAATACACAATGAAATGGAGAAAGAGAAAAACTGTGTATTTGTTGGAGAGAGAAGTGATGGAGGAAAGATTATTTAAAATCACATGTTTTATTTGAGGTCATTTTTAAACACGTAGCGATATGATTGATTATAATGTCCTTTGAAAGGTTGTCCTCTCTCTCTCTCTCTCTCTCTCTCTATCTCTCTATCTCTCTATCTATCTCTCTCTCGCTCCTCTATCATGCTATGTTGTCTAATTAAACACATAAATTAAATAATAACTATTTTAGATTATTTAATCGAGTTTATATGTATGTGATATTATTATCAAACATTTTTAAGGCTTATAAAATGTCTTTTCAATAAATTTTCGTCTGTAACTTTTCACCATTTTGAAATCTACAATGAAAAAAAGTAGATGATTTATTATAAAAACAAAAAACTAATCAAATGAAAAACTAAAATTAAAAACTTAAAAATCAAAGTTGAACATTATTAGAGAAAAAATTACCTTGCAAAAATGATAAGAATAAAATCATGAAATAATTCGAAAGAAACGTATGCATGGCAACATTCGTTGCTTACTACAAACTGATTATTTCTACCAATGATTTATTGCTGAAACGAAAAATTATGATAAGAAAATTTACGTGATTATCTCGAAAAAATCGTGATAAATAACTTGCAAATCATATTAATGAATGATAAATGGTATAACAATAGCAATCCTAAACTGTTCGTTATTTTAAAATATATTAACACAGAAACTCTTTCATTAAAAAAATTATATAATAAAAAAATTTATCGATTTTTTTCAAATTATTAACATTTTTTTTGGGGGGGAAAGTTATGAAAATTATAATAATAACAAATCATTTACGAAAATTAATTTCATGCTCAAACAAAACTTAAATTTATAGATGGAATTTTTGCATTTAGCCATAAAAAGAGTGAAAAATGTGAAACTGTAGAAGACTAAATTATTTTATTTCCTTTCAATTTAAATTATTAAATTCAATAGAACTGTTAGGTGGAGCTTTAAAATATTGTAATTTCAATTTCAATGAATGCTGTTATAATCCGATATGTTATAATCCAATGTACCATAGAATGTATTGAAATTTAAATTATAACACTTTAGAATCACACTCAGTAATTTAAAACTTTATTATATCATTTTAAAGACGCGCATTTTTTAAAGCAATTTAAAACTATAATACATTATTTTAAAGCTATATCTGACAATTCATGCTTACCTAACCAGGCAAACGATATTTAAAAGGAAAAAGAAAAATTGAAGCTTCCTAAATTTGCATATTTTATTCACACTTAAACTGTTGTAAATTTTATAACAATTTGTTGAATTCTATATGAGATGCAATACTAAAACAAATGTATATATATAACTTATTTTAATTTCATTAAAAAGGAATGGCAAAGAAATCTTACGATCAAAAAAGCAATAAATCTTCAATTTTAATCAAAGAAAAAAAAATTTTTTTTTTTTTTTTAATAAAACAACAGCAACAATGATAAAAATGTATTTATCAGATAAATAATCTAATACATCTTTAACATGTAATAGAATACTTATATATAAGAAATGAATTTGAAACATTCGATATAATGTTATTGTTAAACTTGCCGTGATCTATCTTATCTTGCTCCAGAAATATATGCCAATATTTCATTTATTGATCAAATAATAAAGCAAGAAAAGATTCGATTAAAGTTGGATAATTTATTACCTGAATTTTTTGAATAAATAAATATGCACAAACTTCAAAGAAACTTTTTTTAATTTAATAAATTATAAAACATTTACCTGAAATTTTATAGTAAAAAAAAAAAAAAAAAAAAAAAAAAAAGATGGAAAGAATAGACTTAGCAGAACTTTTTTTATTTGTGAAATATTTGATATACCAGTGAAATATAAAATAAAAAAAGAAAAAATGAAATTAACGAATGTCGTAGAGAGGTTGACACTTTTTTGCGATTTTCTTTCTTTCCGTTTCTCTCTTTCTCTTTCTTTTTTTTTTTTTTTTTTTTTTTCATCAAAACAAAGACCGAAATGGAAAAAAAAGAAGGGAAAAGAAAAGAAAAAAAAACTATTCCCTTCAAGGTCTTTCGCTTGCTATCTTCAACAGGATTATAACGAATACCGGATGATAGATATTGGTATAATTATCCGTTCCGTTTACAGACCGTTGTTTTCTTTTCTTTCCTTCCTTCTCTTTTCTTTTTATTTCTCTTTTTATCGTATCATTTCGTACTATTATTTCATTCTCATTTGTTTTTCCAACAACAAATACAAATTTTTCCTGTTTTTTATTTCCGTTCTTACTTTTTCTTTTCTTTTTCCTTTTTTCAATGTTACAATTTGTCCAGCATGTGAATATTTGATTGAATAAATTGAAATCGAAAAAGAAAAATATTTTAAGAGAAATGCAAATAGCAATTGAATAAACTGAAATGAAAAATAATGTATTTAAAAAGAAATACAAACAGTGATTGAATAAATTAAAATCAGAAAATAATATATTTAATCGAAAGATTGATTAATTATTTGAAATTAATGAAGTATAGATGGAATGAGTTTTCCATTTTGGCTTATCCGAAATATCCTGTTGCATCATTTAAAATAAAATGAATATATTTTGCTATCGGAAATTTAATAAGGCTATGAGCAAATGCACTAATATTGATAAAATCATTCAAATTATCAGTCCCATAGGATACGATACGAGCGAAATGATACACTATGTATCACTTCAAACGAATCATTACCAAATGTTATTTTCAAAAAATAAAATATCTAAAATGTTATGATGATTGTGATAAAATCTTAAAAAAAAAAAAAAAAAAGATAACTAATCACTAAATATCTATATTAATTTTTTTTTTCTTCCTCATTTTTTTATTTTAAATAATTTCTTCTTCACTTTGATCTATATTCACCTATCGTATGACAATAACGGTTGATTAATCAACATTTCATATTTATGAAAATATTAAAATGGTTTAAATTTCAGATTCTTGTCAACCTATTTTCAATTTTCAATGAATAATTGATTTTAAAATTAAAATGAAATTATTCTTCAATTTTTTTTTTTTTGTTTCATTTTCCATCTATTCTTGAAAATGAATAAGAAATTATATGTGAAATAGAAACGAATACTATCACTACAAATTTTATATAATTTTGGAAGATAAATAGAAATGAAGCATTGATCAGCTGTTATTTATTTCTTCAAGAAATAAAAACGAAAATTAAAAAATAAATTTTTTTTAAATTACCAAAATTTAGTAACTGAACAAAAAAAAACTTTAAATATTATCATAATGCAACTGATCGAAGTTATTGATTCACAAAGCTGGAGAAAATTGAAATTAATTAAAAATTAATTAAAAACGAACTTTTGAAATAACATAACATTTTGCATTCAAATGCGCAAAAAGTATGAAAAAAAATTCAAAAAATATAAAATTAGTGTGAGGGTTATGAAATTCCTCGATTTTTAATTATTACTTGAAATCATTTGATGAAAGGAATTTTTCTGAATATGCTTTTTTTTTTGTTTCCCTTTTTTTCTCTAGCTAAAAAGTAAAGAAAAGTTTTTTTCAAGATGTCAAGGTCAGTGTTGACATATAGAAAAAAGATGATTAATAATTAAATTTTTTGTGGAAAAAGGAGGAAAAGTTAACAAATGTAAAAATCAACAACAAAATTTAGATTTTAGAAACAAGAGAATATGTCAAATTTTTTTCATTTGAAATAATTTAAACAAAATAATAAAAAGATTTAATCATAGGATTGTCCTATAAAAGAAACTATAAAATATAATCAACTGATCTCTCCCTTCCTCTTTCTTTCTCTCTCTCTCTTACAATATAAAAGCATATTATTAATGGATATTGTTCCTAGATGATAACAAATGTTATAGCAGTGATAATGATTATAATAATTGTGATAAAAATAATGAATGAACGAATAAATTCTTTGAAAAAAAAAGAGATAAACGATGTGTTCAAATGATAAATGTTGTAATGTTGTAACAATAATGATAATAATGACGATCTTGATAGTTGATAATGAGAATGATAAATTAATGAAATGATTTAGAGAAATAAATAAAGAATGAAGTAGAGGGAGAGAGAAACAAACAAAGAGAGGAAGCATATATATTGCTAATAAATATTGAACTAATAGTAATAATAACAATAATAATATTGAGCATATAAATGATATAAAAACATCACCTTAAAATTAATCAGTGAAAATAACAATAAAATTATATGATAAGAATTGAAAAGTCGAAGCAAAAAAAATTCCAAATTTTGAAATAATTCAAAATTTCCAATCAGATGACAATAAATATATCATTTGTGTCACTATAATCCTTTCAAATTTCATTCGAAAGTAATGAAAAATCATTTATTTATCAGAGACTCTTCACTTCTTATGAATATTTCTTCTTCATTTATTTGTAAGAAATGAAGAAAAAACAATTTGTAAATGTTAAATTTCAAATTGAAATGCTTAATTAATAAAATTTTGGAAATTTCTGTTTTATGAGGTTATATGGATCATTCAACAAAAATTCTGCTAACTTCAAGATTTAGATGTTTTTTTTTTTTTGTCGCGAAATTGAGATAAGTAGTATTCAAAATAAAGTGTGATTAAACAACTGTAATTATAGTCATGATATTTTTACAGAAAATTTTAAAAAATTTGAAAAATGAAATAATTTTTTTTTTTGAGGGAGAGAAAAAAAGAAATGACAAAAAATGTATGAAAAAAAAGCTTTTTCAATGTTTTTAATAAATAAAAAAATTTAACATCACTTAAATTGTAAAAAAGAAATGTTAGTCAAAATTATGGAAATTATATTTAAAATACAAATATGAAAGAATAAGCGGTTAAAAATTGATAATGATAATCTAAATTTTAAATTATGATCAAAAATCATCAATCAATTTAATTTCCATTTTTATTTAAATGGCCAACAAATGGTTTTTATGGCAATTTCATAAAGAAAAAAATGCATGAATAGAATAAAATAAAGTTTCGGGAATGAAAAATTTTGAAGTTAATAAGTTAATGAGTGTTAGTTATATTCAGATGTTAAAATTATGAAATTGAATGAATATTTTTCATTTCCATCCGGTCCGGTTTTTCCTGTATTTCCACCTATTAATGCACCGCTCTTAAAATTTGACAGTCACTGTGAAATGGTTCCAATATATTTTTACGCTTATATCTATCTTCTAATGATGCAGTTTTCCAACTAGGTCATTTATGATGAGGAGAACACATCGAAAATAATCTATGTTTAATTTCCGGTAACCTGAAAAAGTTATATCCACGATTTTTTTAATTTTCCGAATTCCATGCATATTTATTCATATTCATTTCTAATCGTATTCAAAAACAATACCAAATCGCTGTAAAATAGCCAAAAATTTGAATTTTCTCGCATAAATATTGAAGACCAAAAAATATTAGAAAAAAGCAATGCAAATATCAATTTACAGTATT